TTGCAAGTATTGCATTTTTTTCTTTTACAAATTGAAGATTTGTGGCAATCCTGTATCGAGCGAGTCTACTGGCACCACTTTTCCAACAGCATTTGCTCATTTCATGTTTCTGTGTCACATTTGCATGCTTCTTGCAATATTTCAAATTTGATATTATTATTATACTTGTTATGATGATCTGTGGTCAGTGATTATGACTCACTAAAGGCTCAGATAATGGTTAACATTTCTTAGCAATAAAGTATTTTTAAAATTAAGGTATGTACACGGTTTTTTTAGACATAACACTATTGCACACATAGAGTAGAGCATAAACATAACTTTTATATCCTCTAGGAAACCAAAAACTTCATTCAACTCAGTTTATTTCCTTTTGTTTTTTCAAGATTTTATTTATTTATCTGAGAGAGAGAGAGCACGTGCAAGCATGAGCAAGGGAGGGGCAGAGGGAGAGGGAAAAGCAGACTTCCCGCGGAGCAGGGAGCCCAATGCGGGGCTCGATCCCAGCACCCCGGGATCATGACCCGAGCCGAAGGCAGACGCCCAACGACTGAGCCACCCAGGCGCCCTGCCAGTATTACTTTAATCCTCATCTTGACAATTAAATGAAATAGCACATATAAAGAGCTTAGAATTGAATCTGACACACTGTGTGATCAATAAGTGTTAGTCAATATTAATATTGTCCATGGCTTTTGAATTATACAAAGCAATGACTTCTCCTTTTTGCTTAAGCTGGTTTAAGTTGGGTTTCTATTACTTGCAACCAAAAGGGTCTTACTTAATACAATTTACATAAAGTCCCAGAATATATGGGTTTATGGCTGACCAAATTCCTTTCTGTAGGCTGAGGCAGAGAAGGAGGATTGAATTAACTGAATCTGGACCATCTGGCTCCTTTTAGTTGATGTCATCAGTAATTTTACCTGAGTAATTTTTCCAACTGCTGGTTAGGAAAAGTTTTCTCATACCATCTTATTTATATTCACTAAAATCCTCCTCCTTCTACGTTGTCAGTTAATAATCTCCTGGTATGATTATTTGCTTTTTATAAGAATACAAAAAGTGGGGAACCACACATTAGAGAGAGAAGATGAAAGAAATATTTCTATAATTAAAACATCTTCTATTGTTTTTTAGGTCCTTGGCCTTAAGCTGGAAACTTTTTACATACTAGTTTACAGTAAATAATATTATAACTAAGCAGTCTACATGCTAAATCGCATACTTTCTTGGTGTAGATTTCTGGAGGGACATGCAAGGGATTTGCATGTTTAATTCCCATTAGCACCTGTCACTGGGATTTATTATCCCAGAGTTAATTCTCCACTCATTGCAGCCAAGAAAGAGGAAGCCCTTGTATATGGATTTAAATGAGGCTTTTTATTTTTCAAAATGAGATGAATTCCATGTTTGTTCCTCAAACACCTGCAGTATTCCAACCCTGAAAAAGTCATATTTAAATTCATTTTTGGTGAAAATTTCCCCAAACTTGAATTTGTTCAATAATTAGAAAAGCCTGTTCATAATTTGAAATTTTGTCTCAGAGAAAAAAAAGGCTTCCATCCAGGACTTCGCTAGGTTTTAAAATTCATTGGCTCTCATTCTTCCATTCAATATTCAATAAATGTTTATTGACCACCTATTCTGTGCCAGGCAGTTTTCTAGGTTCTGGATACAGAGTGGCGAAAGCACTAGGAAAAAAATTCCTCCCTTTGAGGAGCCTCCATTCTACTGGAGAGTATACATACATACAGATACATAAACACATACACATAGGCATATACACACACACACGTATACACATATGCATACATGCACACATACACATACCTAGAAGTAGACATACATATACACGTACATATACATGTTCATATAAAAGAAGTGCTGTACGGAAGATCAAAGCAAGTGAATGCAATGGGGTCTTAAGGAGTATATGCTATTTTAGGTTGTTGGCCAAAGAAGATCTCTCTAAGCAAGGATATTTGAGCCCAGATTTAAGTGAAGTCAGTTAATAATCCTCTGCTCAGAAGCCTATGCAGCACTTCATTATCTATTTCATAAAGAAAACAAATGCAGGCAGAACGTTGGTACACAAGGCAAGTTCCATCTGCAACCATGGGTTGTAGGAAACTCTCCTGCTTAGTGAAGCCGCTCCATTGGCTGGTACTCTTCCTGTCCTTGTTCTTGTGTTCTCGAGCTCCCCTCTGTTTTCCACCTCATTTCTACATGCCATTTCTCAAACCATTCTCCTGCCCTCTTTCGGCGGAATTTCAGTATTGAACTCCTTTTTTCTTCTTGTCTCTTCCTCTTTCTTTCGAAGAACTGATTTCATGCAATATCTGTCCTTGAGCACTTCAATGCCCCAAACAAGATTATGTAACAATTTAATTCTATTTAACTAACTAGACTTTGAGGACTCTTTCCTACTGAGACTTTTTGACAATCAACCAAAATTGATTGAGCACTGACTGCATATTGGGCTCTGTCTTTAAAAGCTGTGGATGAAATGAAAAAGAACAAGGCAAAGTCTCTGCCTTAAAAAGAGGGAAATTCTAGCTAGAAAAGATAAGCAATGAGATTGTCAATGAATAAACAAAAAACTTTTAGATATTGCTACTATCACTATGATAGTGAGCATATGTGAGGATTTCTTAGTAATTAAGCTGCTGTCCTTCCTGGAAAAATTGTAAAGACAGATATGAAATATAATCCCAAGTCCTTCTGGTGGTATAATCCTCCAAATAAATGACGGGTATGAGCTGCCTAGCTGCACTATCCATCATAGTGGCCACTAGCTGTGTGCCTATTAAAATTAAACTAATGAACTACATTAAAATACCTAATTCATACTAGCCACATTGCAAGTGCTCAGTAGCCACATGTGTCTAATGACTACCATTTTGGAGAGCATAAATGGACATATTCCTCATTGCAGAAAGTTCTGTTGGACAGCACCAGTCTAGATAGCATGCAGCTGATGAAACTCATCCACGGCAAGAATAGCGGGTAACAATTTTGTGTCAGGCACTTCTCACATCTTTAACTCATTTCTCACAGAGCCCTATAAGATAATTACTGGTACTAGACCTATCTTACAGATTAAGAAACTGAGGCACCTAGCTTTATTTTTCAGTATCTGTCAGCTAGTCAAAAGAAATGCTGAGAATTGAACCCAGTCTGGAGCCAGAAGCTACCCTTTTACCAAAAGACTGTGGTATCTGTGTATGGGTAAGGGAAGGTGAAGAGGGTAAAGAAGAGCTTTTAGCATGACACGCAGTGCCTCCACAGGAACAAGAAATGGCCAGATTTGTCAGTGTCTTTGCCAAGGCTGACCTTTTCAGATCTACTGGACTCATTAAAGACAGGTCTTGCTGGCTAGAGGTTCAGATGGAGCTTAGCAGGCAGAATCATGGAATGCTAGCACTGAAAAGAACTTTAAAGCCATCTAATGAAATATTTCACAGATGAAGAAACTGAGACATGCAATTTACCTGACCTGTCCGGGATAACAGAGTGAGATCACAGGCCTCCCGCCTGTGTGTGTGTGTTTACACATTGCCCCCTTGGCACCAAGAGCTTCAAATTTCCCTGATATATTATTTATTATTAGTTTAGATATGTACTAATCTTAGGAAGTGGTTTTCCTCTTCCCAGAATGTTGGACTGTCAATGTGTATCGACCTTTTTAATCCATCCACTTTTCCTTTTGTCTAGCCTGTCATTTTATCCACCCATTCTTAGATTCCTCCTTCGTCATTACAACAGAGATCCATAACCTAGCTACCCAGACTAACTATCCTTACTTAAAAAAAAAAATAAGTAAGTAAGTAAATTAAATAAAAAGGTAAAAAATTCATAGCAGTTCAAGTCCTTACTCACACCGTTAGCATTTTGGAAAACATGTCATAGGTTCCACCATCACTTTAAGTGAATGTCTACAAATTTTGTTATTTTGTTGTGCATTGTTTCTGGGAGTTCCCGTGCCAGGTATCACCTCACCACCCTTCACATACTCAACATTGCCAGCCACCAGGATGCACGCAAATAAAGTCTTTTGAAGAATGAGTTTTCCTTTAGCTTTTGGTTTCTGTTCCACTACGGAGAAGTCATGGGCACCCAGAACACTGAGCAGTCTGAGTGGCGCTGACAACCCCAAGATTGCAGCACGGTTGGGACACTGCAAAAGCTTCTTGCCTTCTTCCCCACCACGCAGGACTTCAACTCGAGCCCGCACCCAGCTTAATCAATCGCAAGACCCCAAGTCAGTCGTAGAGCGAGTCCAGTCCTGGGGAGTCTGGCGCAGGCTTTGCTGCCGCCGTGGAGAAGCTGGCAGGCGGCGGGCTGAGCTCCAGTGGACTCAGCCAAGAGGCTCGGGGCGCGCCCGCTGCGCTCCTGGAGTCCGAGTCTGGCGCACCGCGGGAGGCAGGCGCGCTCCCACTCTCCGCAGCAGCCTCTGCCCTCAGGTTTCTCTCGCCCAGGCTTCCGCGGGTAAACCAACAGCCGGTCTCCACCTCAGGCGCTGGGCGCGCATCTCCCTCCAATCCTTGCTTACATAACGCGGGCGGGCGCGCTCCCGCCGCCGCTTACCCCCCAGCGGAGTTGGGCTGCGCCCTCCACGCCTCCACGGAGAGCGCCTCCGCGCACCCGTGCGCCCCAACGCTAGGAGGTGACCCTCCTTGGCCACCCAGCAGCGGCAGCCTGGACGTCTCTCAGGGGCGTGAGCACACGGAGATTGGAGACCCGAGAGCCCCACTGTGCCCAGCTCCCTCCCTCCGCTCCCACCTCCTCCCACTTCTCGCTTCCTCTCCCTCCCCCGCCTCTCCCCACCCCCCCTTGCCTGTGTGTGTTCGGCACAGAAGAGGGGACCCGGAGAGCAGTCCAGGCTCGGCGCGCCGCGGAGCTGCGGCTGTTCCTGCTGCTGGGGGGGAGCGGCGAGGTGGCCGCCTTGCGCCTCCCCGGACTTCCCAAGTGGGGGCAGAGCAGCCGCTCACCGAGCCGCCAGTTAGAAGGCTCAGGGAAAGAGGGACCGCCAAACTCCTCCTCAGCGTCTCCTCTCCACCCCCTTTTGGCTCCTGCCCTTGGAGAAAGTGGAGTGTGGCTCTTGGTTATCATTATTTCTTCGGACTGCTTCGTGGTGCACGGATTCAGCTGCTTCCCAGTGGGGTTTTCCGCTGTTGGCGCTTCTCTCTGTGTGGTTCCTGCCGGCACACCTCTGTCGACGATGAGGAAAGGTCTACGGGCGACAGCGGCCCGCTGCGGACTGGGACTGGGATACGTGCTGCAAATGCTCGTGCTACCTGCCCTGGCCCTGCTCAGTGCCAGCGGTACCGGCTCGGCCGCTCAAGGTAAGAGAGTCCGCCAAGCTCCGCGGCCACCTCCCTTCGCTTCTTCCTTGCCTCCTCCTTCCACTCCTCCTCCCCAGTTCTCTTGGCTTCCTTAATTTGCCTCGTTGCTTTCAACTAGAAGTCAGTTCACGTTCCACTTTCCCAACTAGTCAAGAAGCTTTGGTTATTATTATTTTTAATCCATCTTCCGAGATGGGCACGGATGGACCAGGGACGCACACGGGGTGTGGACCTACATCTATCTGTCTCTGGGCATGTGGGCGCCTTGGGTGTCTTTTGCACTTTCTGCTCCACGCTCACACGTTGTTGCATATTGGTCACACAGAGGTTTGCAGCGACTCTCGGTGCGGGTGGCTGTGTGGCATGCCATAGGTACACCCTGATGCGCAGAGGCTCCCGGCGCTGAGCCACATCTGGGGTTGCGGGATCTTCAGGGCGTCTCTGAGCACGTTAGACGCCGAAGGGCGCTCAGCGAAGGAAATGTGTCCATTACCGCCGAGGACCCACCAGCTCCTCCGTTGCCACTCTGCTGCTGCTTGGGGCGCTGTGGACATGCCCAGGGCACCCGGACCCGCCACCCAGCCAGCGGCAGGCCTCGGGGAGGTGCACGCCTCCACACTCTTACCCTTTCCGAGTCTTCCTCCCAGTAAGCCACGGAGAAACTTAAAACCCCAGAGCTCTGGGAAAACGGACTGGTTGTTCAAAGAGGACACTCCCCCGGGTAATGGGCCAGTTTATAACTCTGACAATTTAATTTAACGCGCCTGAGCTTTAAAACTAAGTGACCGGGGCCGTGGGCAAAACAGGGGTTGGGAGAAGAGCGGTCAGGAGTTGAGGGTGAATAAGGAGGGAGGGGAAGCGCGGGGGCTGATTGTCTTCTTGTCCCCCGAGTTTGAAGTGGCAGCGGCAGCTTCCAGCCTTCCGAGCCCAGGAAGCTGAGTGGAAGGGAGAGGGCCAGGAAAGAACCAACGCTGCCCCCCCTCTGGGGTCTGTTTCGCGTCACCTGGGCCCCCAACCTTGTGGCCAAGCCAGCGCCCACTTCGGTCTTTTCGACCAGTTCTGTGGAAGTCGCTGGCTTAGGGGAGGCAGCTGTTTTTTTTTTTTTCCTAGGGCGGGGGTGAAGGAAGCTTGTCCAGCATTCGGAGGTAATTCAGGGATCCCATCATCTCGGTTACACTTCTTTCCAAATTTGGAGAGCAGAGGAGGTGCGGCGATAGCCTCGAACTCCCGGGGCGTTGCTCGGACACTCTTGGAGGTTCCTGACTGCATTCCCTCTGATTTGCGAAGGCTCTTGGGGGAGAGAGCGTTGGAGGTGGAGGGGAGCGCTGAGCGTTAGCGAGTGTGGTCCGAATGAGGAGGTAAGTGATTTAGCAAGGCTTTGTGAATTAGCGATTGCTACTTCGGGAGTAAATTTTCCTGCTGCCTAGCTAAGTAGCCACGCTCATAAATCCTTCCTTCCCTTCTTACCAGAAGCCTCCCATCCTCGAGGTTCTGCCCTGATTTTCTTATGCATACTTCCAGAGCTCATCTGCCTGTCCATTTTACAAAGGAATCCTATGAACGTGTTGTAGATTTCTTGAAATTGGTAAGAAGTTCTCTGGGCAGCAGCCAAGGGTGTTTAGAGAGGAGTGTTTGGAAGTTTAAGTGAACAACCTGATGAATAGTCGTGAAATCAATCGCGTGACTCCCTGTGGGATTCGCCTACTGTTATTGGGCGCACAGAGGACCCAGCCATGGGGTGGGGTTCAGGTGGAGGTCGGTCGGGGGAGGACTGGGCGGTGAGAGAACCCTTTGGGAAAAGGACAAGTTAAAGTCCCCAAAGATGCCAAAGAGAAGCTATAGGATTCTTGCCTAGAGCTTACTACAGCAACATTAAAAGGACTGGGTCGGAAAAAAAAATCAATAAAGATAATCAAACAGGAGATTGTAAGTGGATTAATATTGAAAGAAGGGAGAAGAGATTAAAAGAAAAAAAAAACGCTCAAGACAGACTGAGCGAGCTAGCTGTACCATTTGCACTTTTCTTACAGACCAGGCAATCCAAAGATTGGGGATTGAACCTGCTCCTCTGGTCTTAAATGGAAAAATAAAATGTATTCTGTAGGGTATATGCATTTCAGTGGTGTTCCTCTCCATTCAGTTTGTTTAGTTACTCAGTTGCTGGTGAATCAACTGTTTGAATCTTATGGTCTCAAAAGACACTATACTCCCACTTTTATCTTTGTTAGCCTCCGTGCTTCAGGACACTCGCTCTTCCTGTGTTGTCTGTTAGGTATTAAAAATGTAGAAAACACCAAACTCAGCTACTATCACGATCACTCTAACCCATTTCCCAGCCTGCTTACTATTGAGCCACTAGTACACTTTCTTCTCAGAATCACACTTTTATATCAGGCTGGCGTTCAAACCTCCTTTTCCTTCTAATTTCTTCTCTTTTCTCCTCCCTCTTTGGACTAGCACACTAGGGAAACTGAAGATACTGTTGCTTCCTCAGGTATGATTTCCATGTGTTGAAGATTTAAAGATGGTAATGATCTATTTTTATGAATGGAACTACATATGCAATTAAGATGAGAAAGTTAATTTGAGGACTTGACAATGTGGATGAGATTTATTTATTCTGTTAGAGAAGTACTAGAAAAATTAACAGTTTTAAGAAAATATGTATGTCTTCAGAGGTAGCCAAAAAAAAAAAAACCCAAAACCAACAACAGATGTTTAAGATGAAAAAAGAAGCATAATAGGTATTATTTGTGAGTATACTATATTTTCTAACTGTAGTTTAAATGAAGACAGCAGTCATTTTATTTAGGTCCTTGGGAGATTCTCCGGGCTTTAGGCAACAACTTTCTCCTTTCTGGCTATGCCTTAATTGTTTCATTCAGGATTGCCTGAAACTCATAGCTCCAGGGGGGAAAATATTGTGTTGTTTCTGACTTCCAAGAATGAAAGATTTTACTAAGTAAAGAGAGAGAGAGAGAAAGAGAGACAGAGAGTGTATTTGATCAGCGTGCCTCAGAGTTAGTGCCCTCCTGTTTTAGAAATGCATTTATTTCTGGATTATCACAGCATTGATATTCTGCTTATCTAGCACCAACTAGTGTTATGAGTGTTAACATCACAAAAGTCAGAAAAGAAAATTAGTGAAGACTCAAATCATATTGAGACTATTTGCTATTACCAGAAGTTAATTCATAATGTTTTTTAAACAAATAGTATACTTCTTCCTACACAAGAGTAGAAACTACTTTCATGCATTTATGCATATTGCTGTGGTACAAATAGACAGTTGGCACAAAAGATAACTGAATTTCATTACAATTATATCACATATTTTCTCCATTTTAGGAGCAGAGTAAATTCATAAAATCACATTTGGAATTTGCAGTAAGGAAAAGTATCCTTGCTCAAGGAATGCTTAAAATGCCTCAGAGGACAAACTTTTCAAATGCTTGCAAAGAAGGAAGAACTATTAGATTGTTAACATTCACTGATTCCTTAGTCTTCTGTACTGTGGATACTGGGGACTCAGCATTCAACAAGACAAGTTCTTCGACTATCTCCCATTTTAGTCTCCAAGCTGGATGTCCTGATCAGAATTCAATCTAATCTTTTTTAAGCAACTCCCCCCCCAAAAAACATAAAGGAGGCATGGGCTTCACCAAGGCAAACCCTCCTAGCTTATTTAGAACTGTTGTTGAGACTTAAAAATAACTGCGCTCTAATGTATGCTCCCTTCTCCAATTGGTGCCAACAGCTAGAGTGTGCTCTGTTGGGCCTGAACTGCATTTAGCACTTTTCTGATTTAGGTCATGGCTTGGCTGGAGCAGCAGAGGGAGTCACTCTCAGAAGGAACATTAAAATTACAGGCTGCAACCACTATTATTCCCAATCATAGGGGAAAAGAGTGGGGGTGGGGATTTAGCCAGAGTCCTTGCCTTGTGATTTTAACCTACTTTTTTTTTTTTTTAGTTTGACTTTTGTATTTGTGGCAGTTATAAACAAACCTGGTTACATTTCCCCACAAATTAGAAACCCGTTAGCTCCTTGGGATAGTGTAAGATATTAGAAGTAAAATTCTAAACAAACAATTGTTGTGCACTTATTATGTCCCAGACTGTGCTCTGTTTGTCAGGGACACAATGTTGAAAGAGACAATTTCAGCCCTCAAAGAAGACACACTTAGCAGCATATAATTATAATGCACTTTCTGAAAAATAACAGTCAGCATAGGTATAGTACTTTCTGGATTCAAGTATCAAAGATAGTGAACATAGGTCAGGGTAAGGTACTACTGGGAGTAGTGGTGGGGTTTCCAAAATTTCAACACAAAGGAACTTAAGGATGGCAATGTGGTTTGAAGTGGGATGTTCTAATGCCATGTTTGCATTGGAACTGTCTAACTTATGTTAAATCTTAATTAAATTTAATGTATATTTGGTCTGGCTTTGAGGAGGCACAAGCTAAGTGTTGTTAGTGGTATGTGCCCATTCTGCCGACTGGCTTAGTGTTTTTCGGTGTCTCCTAATGCTGCTTCTACCACCTCCTAATTGTGTTGCTATGGTTGAGTTATTTAGCTTCATTTGTGCCTCAGTTTCCACCAATGTAAAGTGAAGATAATATATACTACCGGTCTTATTATGATTGAATGAGTTAATACATGTAAATTGTTTAGGGCCATGCCTGGCCCACAGAAAGGAAACATTATTCTTTGGCTTCTAACTCTGTAAACCACTAGCAAAGAAATCTAGAAGTTAAAGAAACTGAAGGTCAATAATTTTGAACACGGACTAGGGATTACGGCAGACTCTGCTTCACCAAAAGCAACAAATGAAGCTGTCTGAGGAGATGTTCCAAAATAGATCACTGCAAACTCCTGGACAGTGATGTGCATGGTTCCTTGAACAGTCAGTCAGGGGGAAGCTCTCTCCCTTCATAACCCCATTTCTTCCTTTCTGCTTTCTCTGGGAAAATTAACCTAATGCCAGTTCTAAAAATGC